CAGTCCTGGCTCCGGGAGAGCGCAAGGGCGGCTGTGGGTTGTGGGCGCTGCTCTCCATCCCTTAGCGGAGGCGCGCGGGCTGCCGGGAGCTGCTTGGAGAGGGCTGGGGTCACGGAAGGGTCTCGATGGAAGTTTGGTGGGGACCTTGAGCCTGCAGCCCCGAGGGAACCTCTCCAGACGCATTCCTTCCTTCTGAGTCCAGACCCCTAGCTCCGCACACCACTCCCCCAACCCGGCTCAGGACAATGGCGCCTTCAGCCCCCAGAGATGAATGGCGCCTTTGAGAGCTGCACGCCATAGGGTCAGCGGCGGCCACGGGTCCCGGGGGTGGCTGAAACTCCCCATCTAGGAACCAAGGCTCTGGGGAAGGTGGGGGGCTAATGGAGGAGGGAAGATAGGGACTGGGGCGTCCTGAAAACATTTGTCCTGGATCAGGTAATGCTGGCTAAAGAGCAATCTTAAGAGTATGAGTGGAGAGGAGTCCTGTCTCCCTGCTCCAGTTTGGGCCCCTTCTTCAGAAAGCAGTAGGGAAAGCTCAGTGGAGAAACAGCCTGATAAGCTTTTGCCCCCTCTGTGTTGGTCCCTTCCCAAAATCAGGGTCTGCCCTCTGAGAGCGGCAGCTCCCCTGCCCGCAGCTCCCCTGCCCTGCTCTTGGGGGCCGTGTCCCTGCATCTGGAGCTGCCTGCAGGCCTGGTCCCTCCTTCCTGCTCCTGTCTCCCCTTTGCTTCCCCCACATTGCACAGCCTACCAGGTTGCTATGGAAACAGGCTTGGAAGGCTCTGCCAGGAGGCCAAGGCCACTCACTATTGCTCTGGGGGTAGGGGAGAGAGGGGTGGAGCATGGAGGGAAACTGAAAGTCAGGAGCAGGAGGTGAGTTCTGGCCATTCCGTGGAGGGGTAAGCACTCTGCGGTCCTGGGTGACTCTTACAGGGGACAGGGGCAGCAGGCAGAGGGGACAATATAATTGAACGATGTGATTGAGACACTGTGGCAGAGTTCCTATGGTTCCAGCAACTCCCAGTGCTCCACAGTGAGGCAAGCCCCTCAGAGGGGAGATCAATAGATGCAGGAGGAAGGGAGACAGGCAGCGCCCATAGTCCTGCCCCTTTCTCCTGCTATGAGGCTGTATCCTGCTGCCCCTCCTGGGGTCATGTCCACAGAGAGGGGGTCTTGACAACTCACTGGAGATCTAGAAATAGGAGGGGAGGGCAGAACTGTGATGTTCAGGATGCTCAGAAACCCTCCCACTAACCCCTCCAACCACCACACCAAGTGGAACCAGAGATGGCTAGAGACCTAGGTGGGTTAAGCATTTTTACAGCCTCCCTCCCTAGCACCGCATTTGCTGGACCTAGAGACTGCCAATACTGTACCTCAGGAGGATGGGCTATAAAATAGATAATGGAGGTGGCCCACTGAGGGCTAGGAGCAAAGAAAGATGGGGGAAGCCTAAGGCAGGAGGGGCCGGAGCCAGGGTAGGTATGGGATCGGGGAGAGCAAACAAGTGTAGTGAGGGAAGGTAGGGTGCTTCTTAGAAGCTTCCCCTGGCAGCCACCACTGGGGAGTAGACCTCTGCCTTTCCCAGCACTCCTACCTCAGGCCAAGCTGCCTCTTGGCCAGGGACTAGCAGAAATCTTGCAGTCCTGGGAGAACACGTCACGTAGGTCCCTTGGGAAGCGACCTCTCAGGTTGTCAGAGGTTCAGATTCTTTCCTGGGAGAAGAGGTCAGGGCAAAAAGGGTCCCCCAGGGAACTTAGGGTTTCCTGGATCGGAGCCATCAGCTTTCCCCTGGCCATAGCCCCCAGAACAGTCCTCTTGGTGTTTGCTTATTTTGGTTATTTTTTGATCAGATATTTTGGCACTGTGCACACTGCCTCCTGTTGCCATGGCAGCCATGACAGGGGCTGAGGCACCGTGAGAAAAATACCAAAATTAATGAGTGAACGAAAGTGCAGCCAAGAGAAAAACAAGGTTAAAAAAAGAGTTAAAACAGTAATGAAAACAGGCTTCCCAGCTCCACAGCAGAGCAGCTGCTGAGGTCTCCCCAGAGCAGCAGCCCCCGCCCAGCCTGCAGCGCCAGGCATCTCCCAGACCTCAAGGCAAGACCCAGCCACCTTCCCCCAACCCTAGCCAGTTCTAGACCTAGCCACAGCCACTGGGGATTCAGCCTAAACACAGTGGTGCATCAGCTCCAACAGCAGAGCGGCTCCCGACCCAGGTAGCATCCTGCCTCCCCACACAGCATCTCAGGCAACAGCTTCCCGTCTCCTAGACAACCGAGGCTCAGCTACAGCTCCCACACAACAGTGGTCCAGCCCTGTTACCAGCAAATGGCCTCCCAGCTACACTCCAGCTTCAAAGCTTATAGCTGCAGGCGGAACTGCATCCCAGCCAGTGTCCTGCACATACTAACAGCCGAGCCACAAGCCTGGGCAACAGCATCTCAGCTACAGCCAATCCCTACTATGCTGTCATCACAGCTATCACTTTGGGACCAATAGCATCCCAGCTACGGTCCTGTACACCACAGTAGCTCTGCTCTTATCCCAGGTAACAGCCTGCCTCCCAGGTACAGGCTCCTAGCAACAGCCTCTCCCCTCCTGGAGCATAGGCAATGGATCTAGCTACAGCCCTATCTACATCATATTAACAGAGAACAGCCTTTTCAGCTGTAGTCAGACTCAGGTGTGCCTGCTTCACATGTAGCATTTCAGGACCAGTGGCACTTTGGTTTTTTTTTTCTTCCTCAACACCACACATACACACAGCTTGGCAACAAGTAATATGATTGTCTAGTGATAGCCTAGGCACACCAACATCATGGAATCCCCTGCAGCATTCCTATGAACCACCAGAGGCAACAGCCTTGCTATTATAGTTCCAGACCCTACAAAGTCTTAATCCTCTTAGCCTCCCAGGGACACACATCTGAGGAAGAGCCACACAACCCCTTCCCCACCCAGCATCACCCAGGCTCCAGTCCCTGGTCAGTCTCAGCTGGAACCTCAGACACTGTCAGCTTGCCCACCAGGTCCTCTTCCCAGTTTTGTACTAGCCAGGAGCCTGGCTTCTCTGCCCTTCAGAAACCATCCCATTGATTCCTCACCATCCTCTTCCCTGCTTTCATGCCTGCCCTTCACGCTGGGAAAAACAAGCTCCTGTTCCCTGGACTGGGGTCCCCTACAGAGCCCAGCCTGGCCACTGAGTGGGAGGGTAGGGGCGCAGGGAGAAGTGAAAGCACAGCCCAGTGCCGCTGCCCTGGCCCAATGCAGCTTCCATTGCTCACTTGCTCGGAGCAGGATTTGGGCTTGATGGTGGTGGAGCGGGGAGGATGGAGGAGAACATCTGGGAGATTAGCATTTCCTGCCCAGCTCTGCAGCAGCCGCTCCTGCTCAGCCCGGAGCTCAGGGAGGAGAACAGAGGAGCCTTTGAACGGATCCCAGCAAGCAGCCCAGGGAGGGTTGGCTGCAGTGGGCAGCAGGCGCCGCATGCTGGGGGCGGGGAGCCTGGGGCAGCTCTGGGGTGGAAGGTTTCTTCTCTCTGGCCCACTCATTCTTAGAGCTGTGCTCAATGATGGGGAGAGTGTGAGCCTTGCAGGGACAGAGAGAAGCCACTTACAGGACACAGCACTCCACCCCCAAACTGGGCTCCTGGAGGGGCAGGGCAGGCTCCAGGCCAGAGGCTCTTCTGAGCGAGAGAAAAGGCAGTCCTTATTCCTCTCATGGATCGCCAGAGACCCCTTCCTTATCCTGACACGTGACTCACAGAGTGAAGCCAGGACAGGTAAGAGGAGGAAGCAGAAGAAACAAGTGAGAGCCCAGTGATGACAATGGGGAAATTAGGGGGTGGGGGAGTGGTAACAGAGATGAGACAGAGGCTACATCAAAAAGAGGGCCAGAGACCAGCCATCCCATAACAAGGGTCTTTCCACATCCAGGGTCCAGGCCAGCCTAAGAATAGCCTTCTTCGGACCTAGAACACCTGCCCGCGCCCATACAGGATTTGTGCTTGATGATGGTGGGCAATCGGAGGGTCTCAGGAACCCAATGCTCTTGGCCGCCACCGGGTACCAGACCCCAGCATAGGAAAGGGAGTGCCCAAGCTACCCGGTGGCCTCTAGATGGCACCAGAGAGCCGGAGCTGAGCAAGAGAAACCGAATATTCGTGTGTGAGACACTGCGTGTGACACCGTGTGTGACTCGGTGTGAGTGTGACAGGGAGCGTGTGGCACTGCGAGGGCAGGTGACACGGGCCGCGACACTACGGGCTTCGCAGGGCAGGGACCCCTTGTGACTGTGGGTGTGTGTGCAGCATGCCGCCGGCCAAGCGTCAGCCCACACAGCACCTCCCCGCCCCAGGGCAAGTGACTGGGAGCCCTGGTAGAGCCTGCGCTCAGGGGTCATCCCTTCTTCATCCCCTTCTTTCTCCCTGTCCTCACACTGGAGTCCCACTACTGTCCCCCCTCCGGGTCCCTCCAGCTCCACTCCCTTCACCCCTGCTCGCCGTGACCACCGAAGGCGACCGCTTTGCGGCTCCGGCCGGGGGAGGGGCAGACTTCCCCGAGTGCCGTGGGTTCTTCGGGGGTCTGGACGGGATGTGGCTCCGGAGGCGCAGGTGCCTGGGGGAGGAAAGCACCGGCGAGGCACTTGGCGGCGGCGTCTTCCCAGGGGCAAAGTGGGGACAGGTGTTTGAGAGGCGTGAGGAGGGGGGATCTCAGAGGGGTCCTGTAGGCTGCCCGAGCGGGACCAGTGTTAGGGGGCAGAGCGAGGATGGGAATGGCCGGGGAGGGGATGGCGACAGGCGCAGGGGGTCTCAGCTTCGGGCGATGTAGCTCGGGGTCCCCTCCCGGCGGGACCCGAGCTCCACCCCCCGGCCGGAGGGGGGCGGGGAGGCGAGCGGGAGGCGGGCAGGCCGGGAGGGAGGGGGAGGCAGGGGGCGGGCCGGGCCGTGCGCTCCGCTCGCGCTGGCTCCGCTGCCGCCACCGCCGCCGCCGCCGCCTCACACACTCCGGGAGCGGGAGCACGGCGCGGACGCCAAGACGCCGGGCTGCCGTGCCCAGAGCCAGCCCAAGCCGGAGCCCGAACCGCAGCGCCAGCCCCAGCCGTGCCGAGCCGCAGCCCGGGCCGGGGCCGGCGGCGGCTCATGGACAGCGGGGTCGGCGGCCGGTGCTGCCCCGAGGCGGGTAAGGATCTGGTGGCGGTGGAGGCGCCAGCGACTCGGAGCCCGGAGCGGCCATGGCCGGCGGGAGCTGAGGGAGGGGCGCTCAGCGGAGCGAGGCCGCGGGGACCGGGTTGGTGCTCTGCCCGTGGGGACTAAGGCGGCGGCGGCCGCGAGCTCAGGGTGAGGGTTGAGGCCGGGCATCTAGAGGTCCACAGCTAGAAGCCGAGAGAAAGGGGATAGTGAGTCAGACCCCAGCCCCAGCGCTCCGGGAATAAGGAGACTCCAGGCACGCGCGGGTGGAGGATGGTTTAGGGAGAGCGCACGGCCCCCAGCTTGGTGGGGAGCTCCGGGAGGACGGTGCAGGCAGGGACCTTGTCCATAGCGCGCGCGCGCACACACAGACACACACACACGCATACACACACTTGTTGGGCGACCAGTTCTGCTCTCTCCCGCGCCTCCAGATCCCCACGGGTATAGAGGGTCATACCGCCAGCATGTCTACACTCATGCATACATCCGTACATGTGTGCGCACACATATCTCTCCTGCACACCAGCGCCCACCGGGCCACCGTCATCGGCTGAAGGCACTTCGGGGTCTGCACAATCGGCAGCACGGACACACACTGGGTGTGACACAAACACCACCATGGGCCTTCAACTCGTGTGCGCCTTGTCACGGCCACAGCGAGCGCGATGGACACTGGAATCCTAGCCACTGCACACATTCCTGTAAGGAAGGAACACACCCTAACGCAAATCCTGTGGCCCACTCCTTGGCCCAGCGGGGGCATGGGTTGCATCCACACAAACACCCAGACCGGTGGCTGGGCAGGCACCCACGGCAGCACCTCGCGGCCACACGTCCGTTACCCACGGCTTCGCACATCTTTCGCAGTGGTGCTACACACACCTCACACCACCGGTGTCACATTACACCCCGCAGCGCAGACGCAAACACTGTCCCTCTCCTGGCGAGGGCAGATTCCACCCGGACAGCGCGCCGGGGTCGACAGCCCCGAGCGCTAGTTACCTCAATCGCGACATTGTTATTGTAAATGTCGGCTCAGCGGGAGCCCCGGGGCCGGCGGAACCGGCTTCCTGGCCGGCGCCTCCCCACCCCCACTCCCGGGATGCACCGGCGGGGTGTTCCGGGAACGAGCTGGACTTGGCAGGCCGCGCCAAACGGCCGGCTTCCTGGGGGCTCCGGGGACCTAGGTCCCTTGGCAGAGGGTGCAAGCCTGGGATGGGGGTTGCGGCCCGCCCTCTTCGGGCCTTTTAGCTGATTCTCCAAGCCACCTGGGTTCCCAGCACACCTGGGTCTGGCTCACACCTGGGCGTCCCCTCCGCAGGCCAGTCGTAGGCGCAAGCTAGGCCCCGGGCCAGAAGGGAGATCGCGGCACGCACTGGAGCAAAACTGAAAAGCGAGATGGTCGCGCGCCTCTTTCCCTCACTGCCCTCGACAGCGCAGACTTCGGGCCCCAGTTTCCTCAGCACTGGTCGGAGACTCGTCCTTCGGGCGGGAAAGATCGGGGGACTGAGGCATTTGAGGATCGAGCGCCCTGCGCGAGGGTCATGTTTATGCGAATGTCCCTGCCCGGCCCAGCTCTTCGCTTTGTGATTCCGGCGCCGAATACCTCCCTGCCCCCCTCCCGGCGTCCGCAGCTTGGCTCTGCCGGCGCCGACTTGCGGGAGACCCTGGGCCGCGGCCGGAGATGGCAAGGAAGGAGGGATTCCCCGCGGCGGCTCGGGGAGGAGAGTGGGGAGGCGGATGCACAAGTGGCCGGCCAGCTAGGGCGCGTTCTCGCCGCGCTGCGCCCTCGCCTCGCCTCGGGCTTGGTAGCCGGGTGTGGGGGTGGGGCTGCCCGAACCCGAGGAACGACGCCGTCACCCCCAGCCGGTTCACCCTCCCTCGGTGTCCACTGGGAGGAGACGCTCGGCGCGCTGGGTGTGTGCTGGGAGCTGACTGAACGGGGCGGCGCAGACGGGACTGCCCAGGCGGTAGCTTCGGGAACTTGGTGCCCGAAGACGCAGGGAGCCTTCCAGCAACTGCTCTGGGTTAGTCCCCGGTGGCTGCCCAGAAGGTGTTTCTGACATCCCAGGAGTGTGTGTGTAGCGGAAAGTGGGATGTTTTTCTTGACAGGAGGATCCGAGAAGCTGGTAACCTGGGATTGCAAGGTGCCGCGCAATGGAGGGGAGGGCTGAAAGTGGATGAGGGGGCTCCAGAGACAACCCAAGGCTGGGTGCCTGAGGAATCTAGTGTTAATTTCTGGCCGCCTTTCGGTGTCCTTCCTCCCCCTACCCAGCCCCAGATTTCCGTTCCAGAAGGGACATCAGGTCGAAAGGGGGTGTCTTGGTCTGGCAGCAGGAGCGAGGTCTGCTGAAGAGTGAATGGCTGGGAAGACAAGACAGGAAGGAAGGGCCAGAGGGGCCCTGCAGGGTGGGGGAGAAACTAGGTAGGAATCCAGGCTGAAGGAGGGGAGGTGGAAGGAAAAGGCCTTTCTGCTGGGGGCGGGGGAGGGCTGCCCAACCCTCCCAGTAAGGCTAGTGCTGCCCAGAGGCAGTTCAACAATGTAGTGGGTGCTTCCACCTGCCAGAGTCCTCAGGACATAGCAGTGTGGGACATACCTGCTTTGCATGCACCAGAGTGTTTACAGTTTACAGAGTGTTTACAGAGAGAGTGTTTCAGTTGACCATTGAACCCATGATCACCTACTGTGTGCCTGGTAGTGTAACTAAAACATTCTTTTGGGGATTTTAAACAATCTGTCCTTTAAAATGTAATAGGCCTTAGATGCATCTGATCTCATTGAATCCTCCAAGAGGCAGGATGTATTATCTACATTTCACAGAGAGGACAGACTCAGAAAAGTGAGCTCACTTGGCTGAGGTTACACAGCAAGGCAGCACTGGAGCAGGTGTTCCAAACCCACAGTCTTGACTCAGGAAAGCAGGTGCCTCGGAGCCCTGCAGAAGGGAACGGGGAGGCACGGAGGGTGGGAGGCTTCTGAGCGGCTCCACCCCACGCAGCTTCACTTGCCCACCCTTCCGCCGGCTGGCTCACAGATGTTCCCACAAGTTTTCTTTGTCCCTCGGTATTTTGTGTCTGCGGTAGCCTTGACTGTGGTGTGTACCCTAGGTAGCTGGAGCTGTTGTTGAACAGTGCTGGGGTGACCTAGCCACTGGGGCAGCAATGGCTGTGCTTCCTACTCCTGTCCTTCAGTGTTGAGCAAACACTGGACCTTTATACCCTCACCCCTTTCCCAGGTGTTGGCTCGCATATGGCAAGTCTCTCTGCCTGTTCTTGACTCTGTCCCTCACTCTTACTCCCCTTGTGTTTCTTCCCCCGTCGGGTCTTAGGAAAATGGATCCCTGTGCTTGTCCCTGTCGAGGCTCAGAATTCCCAAGGTGTTAAGCACCCACAACACACTGGGTTGGAGGTGGGGTGCCCTTGTCCTGGAAGACAGCCTGGGCTTGAGGAAGGGAAGATAAAACACTAATCGCTTCAAAGCCTGCCGCCTGGGACTAATGACTGCCAATACCAACTGCTGGGGACAAAGTTCAGACCGTGGGGGCAGGGGTGAGGAAGACCCGCCCTTTGCCGTGTCTCTGCAGCAACAGCCTGGGAGGTGTGGGAATAGGCAGTCTCAGAATTCCCCTCAGGCTGCTATGCCCTGTTCTCCTGGCCAGGGATGGTGGGAATAAGGTTACGGGGGTGAGGGGGCACAGCCTATCCTTCACCTCAGATGCTCTTCCTCATCCTGCCTTTCTCCCAGACTCTCTACTTCAAATCCTGGCTCTTCCACAGACTCCTGCTGTGTCTGCAGGCAGTTTAGTTCCTCTGAGCCTCAGTCTGGCCCTCTGTAAAATGGGGAGAGGTGCAGTAACAACATTACCTGGTGCAGCAGGGTTGGGAGCTGCACCCAGTGAGAACACCTGTATGAGACACTTAGCGGGTTTGCTGGTAAAACCTTAGTGTCTGCTCGGTGATGGCGAGCCGTGATGGTGATAAAGATGGTGATAATAGTTTGCAGGGCCTCCGGCTCTTTACTCTATGGACCCAGTGTATCTCAAAGTGTTCCCAGACTGTCTGGGTCCAATCACAACACACTGGCCCTGGGGGAAGTCTCCCTGTCCGCTCCGCCCACTAGAGCCCAAATTCCTGCGGGTGGGGCCTGATAATCCTTCCAGGAGCTCCAGGTGCCGCTCTACCTCCCACTCCATCTCCTTACAGCTCTTCCCACCTCCCTCCTTCCCCGACGACGCCACACCTTCCTAGTCCTGGAACCCCGGGGGTTCTTTTCCCACCTGGCAAGCATCATGTCCTACCACTTTCCTAACTCCTTGCCACTAGGCTGTGAGGATCTACTGTGTGGAAGACTGTGTAGGGTGGGTCCTTTCCCAAGTGCTTATGGTGGTGCTGCCTATGACGACTGAAAGGCTTAGATCCGGAAGCTACACCTCTTGGAGTATCCACAAATCAAGTCACCCTGACTGCTGGATCACCGACTCCTGAATTAGCAGGCAAAATTTGTGATGGGTCATTTTTTTTTAATTAGAGATGTTAGAGAGGGGTGTGACTCTACAAGGTTAAATAAGCTTCCTTGGGGAGGAGTGGACTCAACAGTCACCACTCTGGTTCTCCTCTGTCAGGTTTAGGGTAATTCATATGCCCAGATAGGCCCTATTCTGCCAAGATTTATGTAAAGGATGGGGGTGCATAGCGATCTCAGGTCTGGAGGAGGGGTGGTGGCAGGGTAAGGTGCCCAGAAAGGAAGGAGGCAATCCTCTGGAGGTGTGTGGGGTTGAGCGGCGTGCCAGGGCCTTGCTGGTATAGAGGGGAGGTGGCTGCAGGGTGGATCCAGATTCCTTCTTCCTTTAAAGAGATTAAGGTTGCAGCTGGGAACAAACAAGTATAATCAGAGCTGGTTCACACAGTTGAGTGATCTGGAGCGGGACCTGTGCTTGGGTAGTTGTGCGAGGTGAAGTGGGACTGTGCAAAATGCCTGTGGGATCCATGAGCATTCACTGAGAAGCTCCCATGTGCTCCTAAATGGAGGAACCTTAAATTTTACCCCAGTTAGTTCTTTAGGGACTGGGACAAGGAAACATTGGATGGTCTGCTGATGCTACGATGGCCTAAGCTCAGGGGACTAACACAGTAACACCATTGGTCAAGTCGGCCAGGTCTGGGGCTGGGCCCTGAGGATGGAGGAGGAAGCTAAACAGAGGCCTTCCCACCCTTTGCTCAGTCTAGTAACAAAGACAATGAACAACTTTTCCCGGCAGGCCCACAGCCACAGGCCTTCATTGTGTTGGACATTTTAGCCTGCCTTTTCTCAAGGCCTCTAGGGAATGGGTCATCTCAGCTCCATTTTAAGATGAAACTCTAGGTCGTCTGTCGTGCAGCTAGGCGCCTCTGACTTTGATGCCCAAAACCCTTGCTCTCCTCCATCGTGCTGCCTCACATTTGTCTAGTGGGTACACAGAAGCCGTCAGACAAAACTGACAAATGGCCCTTGAGTTAGACATGGTATCACAGCAGACTGGGCCAGTCTTGTTTACTGCTGTATCCTGGTGCCCAGGACAACCTGGCACAAAGCCAGTGCCCAAGAAATAACTTGCCAAAGGTTTCAGTAAGCACCTGTCGTGTGCCTACCTTTGCAGAATGCTTTGGTGGGGGCTGGAGAGCAAGTGAGTGTAAAAAACCCTGCTCCTTCAAGATGCCTGTTGAGACAGACACAGGAACAGGGATGTAACACCAGAGTGAACTACACTGGCAGGCGGTGTCCCCGGTAGCCCAGTGATTCATTGCCTCGGGATCGGGGCAGACAATAACTGGCTGTGAGCTGGAGGAAGGAGAGAGCACCGTGGGTTGCCCGAGCTGGGGCGATCTGTGGGGGCTATTGTCTACCTTCAGTGGGCTGGGTGTGGTGGGTGGCAGGTCCTGGAGTTGGAGGAGGGCGATGATCCAGGTGTAGGCAGTAGTCCAGGTGCACTGACTGGGGAAAGGAGCTGGAGCTAGAGCCCTCTGTCCACGTTGCTGGGCAGTCATGACTGGGACAGTAGCTGGCAGGCCTGATGGAGGGTCAGCAAAGCCGGGTAAGATGGGTGGGAGAGGGTTTCTGTGATGGGGCATGTGCAGCTGGTGCTGGGCTGAGGCACGCAAGCTTCCCAGAGGAAGGGCCTGGAGGTGAACCAGGGAGAACAGGTGTGAGACTGGACCCATTAGAGAGGACGAAGGCCCCGTCATGTTCTAGGGAGATATGTATATGGGGATGAGGGTGAAACAGGAGCTTAATGTTCATCAAACAACCAGAGGGTGTGTGAATAGGATTAGGAGGCAAGGCCAAGGGTAGGCTGGTGGAGTCACTGGCTGCTCTGCCCCGGTCACACCTGCCAGGCTCTCAGTCACTGAGGACAGGCCAGGGCAGCTCCAGTTCTGGAGGCAAGTAGTCCTGACCACAGTCCTGACCCCAATGTTGACCCTGCCCTTCTTGCCTGCACACCCGCGCACTGCAGCAGGCTAGAAGAGCAGGGCCTTGGGAACTCCACACGTGTGCTATGCGCATGTGTGTTTGCGTGTGCACACGCACACTGAGGTACATGTGAACTTTGACTGTGTCTAGGCTGGCCTTTCACAGAGTTGGGAACTGTTGGGCACTGTGGGTGATTATTTTCAGAAAAAGATTTGGAAGGGAAAGCATCTGGTGCAGTGGGTTAAGTCATCACTTGGGACACCAACTTCCTGCATGAAGCCCTTGCTCCCCTGCTTCCTATCCAACTTCCTGGGAAGCAGCAGGTGATAGATGAAGTACTTGGGTCCCTGCCACCCACATAGGAAACCCAGATGGAGCTCCTGGCACCTTTTTGGAGGAATTTGGGGTATGAACTGGAGGATGCAAGACCTCTCTCTCTCTCTTCTCTCAGTCTTGGTCTCTGCCTTTCAGATAAAATTAAAATACAGGGTTTTAGTTGGGATTTAAATGGGGGATTTATCTCATCTGCATACGCCACCTCAAGGAAACATCATGCTCATTCCCTCCAGCCGAGCTGTGTGGACCTTGGTGTGGGCAGTGAGGATCCCAGGTCTGAGGTGCAGAAAAGGCAAGGGGGGGGGGCGGTTACCGTGTCTATTTCCAGCCATGGAAGGATGCTCCAACAGGGGGTGCTCCAAGCCTCACCCTTCTACTTGCTCTCTCTCCCCCTATTTCAGTATCAGGGTAATTACCATGGGTGACTCAGGCAGAGTACTGGTGAGAAGAAACTGTTGAGTAGAGCCCAGAGCTGAGAGCCAGGAGGGAGGGCCAGGGCCCAGGGAGCGTCAGTCAGGTGGGGTAGGGCGTTCCATGGGCGGGAGCTCTGGCCCTGTCAGACCTCTTACCGGCTTCTCCAGCTGGGCCAGACACAGCTGCTACACCCAGCTGGGGTAAGATTTGGAGCCTGTGGCTGAGGGGGTTCCGTGCTGGTGTTGACTCCTTGCAGGAGAGCATTGTGTAGGTGGGAGAAGGAGAGTGAAGGCCAGATCTTCCCATCAGCTGACGCCTCTGGTTTTTGTTTTTGTTTTTTTTTTTGTTTCTTTTTTCCCCTCTCAGCCCTCCTTATCACAGAACCTGTGAGGATGCCGAGGATGCGGCCCCTGAGGCCCAGCCCAGGGCTTGGGGGACAGCAGTGGCTGCTGCCCCTCTTGTTGCTGGCATTCCTACTCCTGCTGGCTCCATGCCCAGGCCAGGCCACTCGGGTGGTATACAAGGTGCCGGAGGAACAGCCGCCCAACACGCTCATCGGGAGCCTCGCGGCTGACTATGGCTTTCCAGAAAAGGACCACCTGTACAAGCTCGAGATAGGTGCCCCCTACCTCCGAGTAGATGGCAAGACCGGTGACATTTTCACTACTGAGACCTCCATCGACCGAGAGGGCCTCCGTGAATGCCAAAACCAGCTCCCTGGTGAGCCCTGCATCCTGGAGTTCGAGGTGTCCATCACCGACCTGGTGCAGAATGGCAGCCCCCGACTCCTTGAGGGCCAGATAGAGGTGCAGGACATCAATGACAACACGCCCAACTTCGCCTCGCCAGTCATCACTTTGACCATCCCTGAGAACACTAACATCGGCTCACTCTTTCCCATCCCGCTGGCTTCAGACCGTGATGCTGGCCCCAACGGTGTGGCATCCTATGAGCTGCAGGCTGGGCCCGAGGCTCAGGAGCTATTTGGGCTGCAGGTGGCAGAGGACCAGGAAGAGAAGCAGCCACAGCTCATCGTGATGGGCAATCTGGACCGCGAGCGCTGGGACTCCTACGACCTCACCATCAAGGTGCAGGATGGCGGCAGTCCTCCCCGCGCCAGCAGTGCCCTGCTCCGGGTCACCGTGCTCGATACCAACGACAATGCCCCCAAGTTCGAGCGGCCCACCTATGAGGCCGAGCTGTCAGAGAACAGTCCCATAGGCCACTCGGTCATTCAGGTAAGAAGCCTGCTCCCCTGCAACCATGAGAACGGGAAATTGAACCCAATCAGGGGAGCCTGCCTGCCTTTCGCTTAGGGGTAATGATCCTGCCACTCACCCCCAACACTCAAACATATGACATTACTACGACTTGGGTGACAATGACATAGCATGTGAGGCAGTTGCAGAAACCTCTGGGAGGTGGAATTCCCTTCCCAAGTGAGTGCTTTCTGTGCTCACCAGGTGAGCCATGTTAGAACAAAGGAATCACTTTTTATCCAGGTGGACTCTGAGATACCAGGGTTTTTCCTGAAATCCGGAGACCTGTCCTCCTTGCACCCTGCCTAGAGCAGTCGATTGAAGTCCTTGCAGCCACAGGAGGCTCTCAAGAATTCTGAAATACCCCTTCTTGGCATATGTGTGTGTGTATGTTGACTTCTTCCCCAGGCAGGGGGTGCCCATGAGTGTGGGCTTCATGGCCCAAAGAGGGGTCAGATGGCTCTGTTGATGTTCTCAGCACCCTCTTTGCCTGGGAACTGCCCCAGGGGCTGGGCAGCCCAGTGGATCCTGGCCTGGGAGGGAGAGCACAGGAGGCATCCCCGCAGACAGGTGGGCGTATCTCCCGCTGTCATCTCAGCCCTGGCCTCCTGCCAGCCCAAGCTCCTTTCTCCTTCCCCATGGGCTGAAGCCGCCTCTGTCTTTGATGTGAGGGAGCCATAGAGCACTCCTCCTGCCCTGGACTCCGTTACCTGTCTGGGAAACCATTCCTCCTAGATCCTCAGGCTGAAGTGAGAGAGGGGTGGGAAATGAGGCTTTTTTTTTTTTTTTAAAGAGATTATGGGCTGAAATGCAGAAAAGAGAGACTGAGAGGACAGGGAGACAGACAGTCGGGGATGGCGAATAATAACAGCCTAAGTGTCAGGCAGTGTTCTCACATATTACATGTGTATCATTTAACCCCTCCAGTACAAGGTAAGCATTATCCCCATTTTACTGATGGGAAACTGAGCCCCTAGAGATGAAGGAAGAAGCCTGCCTGATATCATACAGCTGCTGGGTTTGGCACTCACCTTTGTTCCGCCCACCAGCATGGCTTCAGAGCTTGTGTGCTCACAGCTCTCCCACTTCCCAAGGAGATAAGACCAGCAGTGGGGGGACAGGGAGAAGAATGAGAGGTGGCCTGGGTTCAGTGAGGCTGGCAGAGACCCGGCAGTAGGAGAGAAGCAGAATTAGAACTGAGTGAGGGTGAGAGGCAGGCAGAAGCCAAGACAGGTGGAACAGGCAAGAAGCTATATGTAAGCAAAATGAATGAATGAATAAATGTTATCTCAAGAATTTGAAAAGATTTATCTATTTATTTGAAAGGCAGAATTGCAGAGAGAGATGGGCAGGGGGTGGAGACAGGTATTCCATCCATTGGTTTACTCCTCAAATGTCCACAACAGCTGGAGCTGGGCTGGTCTGAAGCCAGGGGTTTCTTCCAGTCTCCCGCATGGGTCCAGGGGTCCAAGCACTTGGGCCATCCTCCACTGTTTTCCCTGATGCATTCAAAAGGAGCTGGATTGAAGTGAAACAGCTGGGAACCGGTGCCTGTGTGGGATTCCGGCACCACAGGCAGCAGCTTTATGGCCCCAGTGAATTCATTCTAATAAACAAGATTATTAAAAAAAACAACAACAAACAAAAAACAGCTGTGTGACCAGCCTAGAGGAGGGAAACAGTAGGTAGGGGGCAAATCCCTACAAAATTGATGATGGGTAGTGAGAAAAAGCATTAAGAGTTTGGCTCTTACTAAACTGGAGCAGAGACCAGGGCAAGCCAGGAGCCCCTGCAGGGATCTTCAATGTAGGAAAAATGCTGGCAAGTATAAATGGACATGGAAGGAGAAGAGAGCAGCAGTTGCACCTAGCAATTTGTTAGTGCTCATTTATGGGCGACACACAGATGGGCAGACAGAGGGATGGAGGGACAGACAAAAGGAACTGTGAATGCTGCCTCAGAAGCGCTTTGTGTCAGGTGGTTTTACAGGTATTATCCCACTTAGCCCTCACCGTAATCCTATGGGGGAATCTGTTATTATCCCTATTTTATGTGTTTGTGGACTGAGGCCTGAGGAGGTTAAATAATTGACCTCAGGTCACATAGTTACTTGGCGCCTGAGAGAGTGGGGTTTTGAACACAGGACCTTTCTTTTCCACAAAAACTCTCCCACATTATGTCTGTTCCTCTGTCTTGCCTCGGCTCTCGGGTATCTGTGTGGTTGTATCTGACTCCACACCCCTCGTGTGTCTCCCTGACCGGTATTTCCTGGCCATTTCCATCCATACCGCTGTTGCCCCATTGTCGCCCATGTTTGTGGAGACTCAGGCTGAGTGTGCATTGGCGTTGGTGTGGGTGGGTGTGCCCACTGCAAAGGGACAGACAGTTCATTGTTTGACGCCGGGAGCCCAGCCCACTGCCGGCAGGCTCTGTGGCCTGCACCAGTCCCTCCCTCCTGGCCGCAGGCTCGGGCCTGATCCCTTGGGTCCTCGCCAGCTCTGGCTTGGAGAAGTAGCTGCTGAAACAGGTTTCCCCGGTCTGACAGAGCAGCGATCGGTGGCTCCCTCTGACCCATATCTCTACCTGGCTGCTTTTACAGCACGTCCCCTCACCTGAGGCCCGTGGCTATGCATGTGGGTCTGCATTCACACATGCAGACACACACAGCATCTCACAGAAAAGTGCACAAGCGTGTATGCACATATGTGTGTTATTCCTATAACATGTATGCACATCGCCTCTGCTACCCGTACATTTTCCTGCCTTCAGAAGGCTTAAGGTCAATTTCACTGGATGAAAGTGCCTCCATAGTTACTAGCTGTAGTCATCGTTTTATTTGTATTTGTGAAGGAATGACATGTAAAGTTTAACAATGTCCTGTTTTGGGACTGGGACTGTGGCACAGCTAGTTAGGCTGCCGCCTGAAATGCCACATCCCATATTAGAGCGCCAGTTAGAGTCCTGGCTGTTTGGCTTTTGATCCAGCTCCTTGCTAACATGCCTGGGAAAGCACAGAAGGATGACCCAAGTGTTTGGGCTGCTGCCACCCGTGTGGGAGACCTGGATGAAGTTGTAGGCTCCTGGTTTTGGCCTGACTCAGCGCTGTTGATACAGCCATTTGGGGAGTAAACCAGCAGAATGAAAATTTTCTCTCTTCTCTCTTTAACTCTACCTTTTCAATAAATCTTAAAGAAAAAAGAAAAGGTTAGTAATGTTCACCAGAGTGCCAAAAGGGGGAAGAGCAGCAGTCTGTGTGCTGCTTCTGGAAAGGAGGCTGTGTTAGAGCAGTCACATCTGCCATGCTGACTGGGGAGGGGACTGGCTGTCCCTGGCCTGACACCACCCCTGCTTGCATTGTCTCCTGCCCCACAGGTGAAGGCCAATGACTCGGACCAAGGTGCCAACGCAGAGATTGACTACACCTTCCACCAGGCTCCTGAGGTCGTGCGGCGCCTCCTGCGACTGGACAGGAACACTGGACTGATCACCGTCCAGGGCCCTGTGGACCGTGAGGACCTGAGCACCCTGCGCTTCTCCGTGCTCGCCAAGGACCGGGGTGCCAACCCCAAGAGTGCCCGTGCACAGGTGGTGGTGACCGTCAAGGACATGAATGACAATGCTCCCACCATTGAGATCCGGGGCATAGGGCTGGTGACTCATCAGGACGGGATGGCTAACATCTCAGAGGATGTGGCTGAGGAGACGGCCGTGGCCCTGGTACAGGTGTCTGACCGAGATGAGGGTGAGAATGCAGCTGTCACCTGTGTAGTGGCAGGTGATGTGCCCTTCCAGTTACGTCAGGCCAGCGAGACGGGCAGTGACAGCAAGAAGAAGTACTTCTTACAGACTACCACCCCGCTTGACTATGAGAAGGTCAAGGATTACACCATTGAGATAGTGGCCGTGGACTCTGGCAACCCGCCCCTATCGAGCACCAATTCCCTCAAGGTGCAGGTGGTAGACGTCAATGACAATGCGCCCATCTTCACCCAGAGCATCACCGAAGTCGCCTTCCCGGAAAACAACAAGCCTGGTGAAGTGGTGGCCGAGGTCACCGCCAGCGATGCTGACTCTGGCTCAAATGCGGAGCTGGTCTATTCTCTGGAACCAGAGCCAGCTGCCAAGGGACTCTTCACTATCTCACCCGACAGTGGAGAGATCCGGGTGAAGACATCCCTCGACCGGGAGCAGCGGGACAGCTACGAGCTGAAAGTGGTGGCCGCCGACCGGGGCAGCCCCAGCCTGCAGGGCACAGCCACTGTGCTCGTCAATGTGCTGGACTGCAATGACAACGACCCCAAGTTTATGCTGAGTGGCTACAACTTCTCAGTGATGGAGAATATGCCAGCACTGAGTCCCGTGGGCATGGTGACCGTCATCGATGGGGACAAGGGGGAGAACGCCCATGTGCAGCTCTCTGTGGAGCAGGACAATGGTGACTTCGTGATCCAGAATGGCACGGGCACCATTCTCTCCAGCCTAAGCTTCGATCGAGAGCAACAGAGCACCTACACCTTCCAACTGAAGGCAGTGGATGGTGGCGTGCCACCCCGTTCCGCCTACGTTGGGGTCACCATCAATGTGCTGGATGAAAATGACAACGCTCCTTTTATCACAGCCCCATCCAATACCTCCCACCGGCTGCTGACTCCCCAGACGCGTCTTGGCGAGACGGTCAGCCAGGTGACAGCCGAGGATATTGACTCTGGTGTCAACGCTGAGCTGACCTACAGCATTGCTGGGGGCAACCCCTATGGGCTCTTCCAGATTGGTTCCCACTCGGGGGCCATCACACTGGAGAAGGAGATTGAGCGACGCCATCATGGGCTTCACCGCCTAGTGGTGAAGGTCAGTGACCGTGGCAAGCCCCCACGCTATGGCACAGCCTTGGTCCACCTCTATGTGAACGAGACCCTGGCCAACCGCACACTCCTGGAGACCTTGCTGGGCCACAGCCTGGACACGCCGCTGGATATCGACATTGCCGGGGACCCAGAGTACGAGCGCTCCAAGCAGCGCGGCAACATCCTCTTTGGAGTGGTGGCTGGTGTCGTGGCCGTGGCCTTGCTCATTGCCCTGGCGGTGCTTGTGCGCTACTGTCGGCAACGGGAAGCCAAGAGTGGCTACCAGGCTGGCAAGAAGGAGACCAAGGACTTGTATGCCCCCAAGCCCAGTGGCAAAGCCTCCAAGGGCAACAAGAGCAAGGGTAAGAAGAGCAAATCCCCAAAGCCCGTGAAGCCGGTGGAGGATGAAGATGAGGCCGGGCTGCAGAAGTCCCTCAAGTTCAACCTAATGAGCGACGCCCCTGGGGACAGTCCCCGGATCCATCTGCCCCTCAACTACCCACCTGGCAGCCCAGACCTGGGCCGCCACTACCGTTCCAATTCCCCACTGCCTTCCATCCAGCTGCAGCCCCAGTCGCCCTCGGCCTCCAAGAAGCACCAGGTGGTGCAGGACCTGCCGCCTGCAAACACATTTGTGGGCACCGGGGACACCACGTCCACGGGCTCCGAGCAGTACTCCGACTACAGCTACCGCACCAACCCCCCCAAATACCCCAGCAAGCAGGTAGGCCAGCCTTTCCGGCTCAGCACACCCCGGCCCCCACCCCACCCCTACCATGGGGCCATCTGGACTGAGGTGTGGGAGTGATGGCGCTGATGCATTATGTCTGCCACACTCACCATGTGGGGGCCAAGATGGGAGTACAGATCTGGGGGGAACAGGGCCTTGGTGATGAACCTGCTGCTGACTTGCCCAGGAATGGGAGGTTAAGCTAAGTGAAAGCTGAGGGAGGGTATGCTCCCTGGGCTCCTTCCTGCCCCCTTCCTGCTGGAAAGGGGCCTGTGACTTGCCAAGCCCCGCAGGTTGAACCCAGACCCATCCCTGGGTCTGGTAGGTGGGGGTCTTGGACAGGGAGCAGAAGGATTTGAAGTCAAGAGTGGGGAGAGTGTGGGGAAGTCTACTACAAACCCAGGTCTCTGAGTGAGGCCAGCCATAGGTGCTGCCCTGGAGGGTTTTGGGGAGCCTGCCAGGGAGGGGAACCCCCATTTGTTCCTTCTGAATGTATTGTGTATCAGCCTTTTCCTCACGCCCAGGCTCCCAGGGCTGGGCCCATCTCCCCTTCCCCAGCCCCGTGCACTTGACCCTGACAATAAAGTTCTCTATTTTTGGAGTTTTGGTTTCTTGTTTTCCTGGAACTGAGAGAAGAAGGGAGAGAGACTGAAAGCACCCCTTTGTCCTCAAGTCTTGCCTCAGTTTCCCTGTCCCTTCCCTTTGCCTACTCTACACCTCAATCCTAAGCTAGCATATCCCAGCTCCCCAGCTGCTCCTCCTCATTTTTTGCACATCCACTCTGGGGAAAGGGCCCTCAGATCAGCCATCAGATGTTGCTGCCTGGCACCACAACCCCTTGTTTGTGAGGCCCCCTCCCTATGAGCCACACCCTGCTTGGAGAAAAGACAGGTGGAGGTGCAGCCACATTACCCTTTCTCCACTGTCCAAGACTTGGTTGCTTCAATCTGCACACACTAAGTACCTCTAACAGACCTCAGAGCAGAACATTTGGTGGGGGGAATCTTGTTGGGTGAAGGACAAGAGCCCTTTGACCATCCCAACCACCTTCCCTCAATGCAAGCACTCCCTCCGCCCCCCAAGCCCAGCCTCTCCACCCAACACCACTTATGACCCAGCAAGTAGGCGACCTTGCGCCTTGACTCAGCCTGGGCTACAGGAAGAGAGGCCCCACAAGAGGCCCGGAGAACCCAAGCTCTTTGTCACCAACTGCTTTTCCCCCACCTCCCAGCTGAGGCTCCCTAGTTCTGCCCCTGCCTATGATGTCACCTCCCCTCCCCCCAGCTCCTGGGCTGTTGGCTCTCACTCTCTCTCTCTCCGTCTCTCACTTCTTGCTCTCCTGGGTGTGCTCTGTCCCTGGTTGTACCTGAGTGGGGAGGAAAGCTAACTTGTGTGGCTGAAGGGCCTCAGGTCCTGGGGGAGTCTCTGAGGCCAGAGGCAATCTACCTCCATGGTGACCGAAGAGGCCTGGGACACTCCCAAGAGCTCTGTGGCGCCAGCTTGCTCCTCTGACTCCAACCACTAAGTCCCCAATACTCTGGGGGTACCCCCAAAGTGAAAACTCCTGGGGGCTCTGGAGGACTGGGTCCAGGGAAGTAAGATCCAGGGAAAGCTCACATCACAAGTCAAGCCCCTACAGGGTGACCTCCACAACTCCGGACCAACCATTCTTCACCATTTGTGTTCTTGCAGCCACTGTTTTTTAATTCTTTCCTTTGGCTCCCACAGCCTGCTTCTAACTCAGCTCCAGTCCCACCTGTATTCATCCATAGAACCACACTGAATACCTTCTCCCAACATTGAACAGAACCCAACTGCACCACTTTTGTCACCACAGCTCACAGACCAAGTTCCCACTGTGTGCTCAATGTGGCAATGGGCTCCAGTGAACAACTTTTGCACAAGATAGTGGGAATCTTAAGTGTCTGTAATCTGCTGGAATCTTTAAGTGTCAAGTGAAATGTGCTATAACAAAATTTTTCCCGATTTGTTCCATGAGCTACTTGTGTTGCCATCACTACCTCACTTCTACTTTCTAAATCCTTCCTAGGGGCCCCGCCTGAGGCCAAACCCTCTTTATGAACTAGTTCTATGCCCATAACTTTGTAATACCAGTCATTTTAATGTTCTTTTTACGGTAGCAAGTACTGAATATTGATGCATCCAGATCTTAAGCAAAAACCTCAAGAAACCCAATTGTTGATGTCAACTGTTATCCTTTAAACCATTAAAGGGGGTGTGAGTTTTCATGATTAATTTCATTTTTGTAGGCAGAGATTAATCTACTGGGGGCTCCATAAAGCCCAGAGGAGCAGAGCAGTCTGATAAAGTTTTGTAGCTCTAGGGTTTCCCACATTTATTTGACCATGGTTGCATACTGTACTAGGGAGTACCTGCATGGATCACCAAGATGGGATTCTGGGAGGAGATTGTGAAACTTAAGCCAACTTGGTAATAATGAGTAATGTTTGGCCAAGAAGGTTCCCCCTGGCTGTGTTCACTCTGAGGCAGGAGTAAGAATGACCAAGGTGGAGGCAGGGAATGGGCAGAAAGGGGACTGGGTTGGGATAGGGGGTGGTACCAGAGGGAGCTGAGAGATGAGAGAAGCAGACATAAATGCCTTTCTCAGGCAGTCTCTGAATGTGCATGCCTTTGGGTTTTTTTAGGTGAGCTGAGTTTTAGGAAGATCAGTGGCATGTATGATAGACTTCAGAGGGATTGGCGGTAAAGATGCAGGCTTGAACCAGTACAGTTTGGATAAATGTAATGCCCCAGGGGGTGATGGGTGAGTGGATGTGGCTGGATGTAGGGAGAAAGAACCCACAGGATTTGAGGGATAATTAGATGTGTGTAGAGATGGGGAGTGAGGGATGAGCCCCCTGGAGTGTTCCAGGTGGACATCAGCTTTCAGAGTCCAGTTGGAAATATTTAGCAAGTGTTGGAACTGGGATGAGCTAGAGCTGGAGAGAGATTTTAGACTGGGCTTTGAAGGTAGGATAGCCACAGAATTTCAGGGAGCATCAAGTGTTGAATGCAAGCCAAGCACTCTATTGTACTGCAAAGAATCCCAGGGAAGGACATAGGGCACCAGCCTTAGAGGCCAGGGTGAAGCCTTTGCTGAACAGGCGGGGCTCTGCCCACAGGTGGCTGTGGGCAGAAAGAAAAAAGCAGGGAAACAAAGCAGTAAGAGCACAGCTTCCTGTGCCTCCACCACCCCCTCCTGTACCCAGTCACCCCTGTGCTGGGCACTTTAAGATGCTTGGGGCCCCACGTCCCCAAGTGTGTAGGTCACTTTGGTGTGCCTTGTCTGTTGTCACCCAGACCTGGCAGTGTTTTCTGTCACAGCCTCAAGCCAAAGAAGGTCACCTGATTTTGAAGATCAGGTGGGGAGGCCACCTTGGGCTGTCTTCCTGCCAGCCTCCTACGCCCCAGCTGCCTGGAACAGGGTGGCATCTGGAGGGAGACCTTTTCCTTGGCCATCTCCAAACAAACATAAGGCCTGCCAAAGTCTCAAAGAGTTGGAGGGAGCCTGGAGACCCATCAGCTGTCCCTGGGCCTGTCTGCCCCACCCCTGCCCTCTAGGGTGGTTATCCCTGGTCTGAGCCGTCACCAACTCTTAATTTCTGGTTGGCAGGAACGCCAATGGCAGTCCCAGGTGGGTGTTTGGGTGGCAGGCTGGGTGTGCCAAGTGCCAAGCTAAGGTTGCCAGGTTTCTGGGTTGATCATTAACCCGTGGCAGGCAGCTGGAGCTGTGGGCAGGAAGCAGCCTGTCCCCTGTCTAAGACTCCATGTTGGCTCCACCCAGCGAACACCTTCCTGTTTCCTGGAAGGAGTCTTAGTGGATAGCTAGTGTTCCTAATCCTCAGTGGATGTACGTCCCACCCCTAGGCGCAGAGCCCTACCCTCTACAGTTAATAATGTTCCTGCTGGGGGATGAGGTGGGCCTTCTCATTGTTCTGTTCCCCTTCCCTACCCACTGCACACCCCCCCTCCCGCTTGCTGGTGCCCTCCCCTCCTTCACTCCCACATTTTATTCCCACTGCAGAGGGGAGGAGGGGAGGCTGAGCTGGAAAGGGGCTCAGCAGGGAGTCCTAAGGCTGCCTGCAGTGCTGCCGAGCAGGGATGAGCAGGCTCAGAGGATGAGAAAGAGGTTGGCACCTGTATGATGAAGGCCCCAGGAAGTCACAGAGCTGTGAGCCAGGTGCGGAGCTGCAGCCTGCTGGATGCCGTTTGGAACTCAGGGGACCGCTGTGTCCCTGGTGAGCTGTTTGGGAGCTAGAGGAGTCTGTGCTGCTTTTAGGAAAGGCCTTCTAGCACCCGGAGGCTGTGCTGTGTGGCAAGGCTCTGCTGGAATTAGGGGAGTCGGCTGGTACTGTGCTCTTCTGGTGTCGGGTTCTGCACTGTTAAGGAGCTGTCCTGGGCCTGGTAGGGCTGTGCTGTCACTCGCAGGTGGTACTGGATGGTGCTCTTGGGGCAGCCCTGGCGGCTGTCATAACACGGGGGCCTTTGCTGGGGTGGGACTTTCTGTATGCAGATGTGGCTGAGTTGGGAGTTGTCCTGGAATGAAGGGGCCTCCCTCTGATGGCACCTGTGCTTTCTGGGGGGTGGGGCTCTGTGTGCTAGAGGGCTAACTGGTGGGGCCAGGGGCAGGCCATCAGCCCCCAGTCACACTCAGTCTCTTCTGCAGTTACCTCACCGCCGAGTTACCTTCTCGGCCACCAGCCAGGCCCAGGAGCTTCAGGACCCATCACAGCACAGCTACTACGATAGTGGCCTGGAGGAGTCGGAGACACCATCCAGCAAGTCCTCCTCAGGGCCCCGCCTCGGTCCCTTGGCCCTGCCTGAGGATCACTACGAGCGCACCACCCCCGACGGCAGTATAGGGGAGATGGAGCACCCCGAGAATGGTGAGGGGCATCAGCTGGGTCAAGGCACTCTGGGAAGGGGTAGGAGCCTGGGTGTGGGGTCTAGGCCTTGCGGACACCCTCCATTTGGGGAGTTCTTCGTGTGCGTCCGTGGTCATCATTGTGCTGGGCACCCCCACCCCACCCCAAAACCATGTGCACGTCCTCCTCACGGCCACTCTCTATGTCCTCTTCATGGCCACTCTCTGATCCCAGAATTGCGTTGTACCCACTTTGCAGTAGAGGCCACTGAGGCTAGGTCATCTGGCCCGAAGATATCAGGGTAGCAAGTGGCAGGCCTGGGAGACACTGGACCCCATGTCCTCATGCTCAGCAATGCACTGTGCTGCCTCCCTGGGAGCACAAGCCCTGAGGAGACACAGCTGACCTCGGGGAGGCTGGAGCAGTTGGCTGAGAAAGGGCCACAATGGGCAGGCTTTCAGGAGAGAGGCTTGGCCACTGGGGTACAAGAGCTGAGGGCCAGAGTGGAGAGCAGCATGGGAGAGGATGGTGTGGCATGCTGTCAGAATATGTGTGTATCGGAGCGTGTGCGTGGCTGAAAGTGTCCAGTTGCCCATGGCAGGGAACCTATGTGGGCCCTTGGGACAGGAAGACTAATGTGTGACCTCACCCCATTCCCCCAAGTCCAAGTCTCCCCTCCCTCCCCACTACAGAGGAAAAGTTCCATTCCTAGGCCTCGGGCCCAGGGCCCTGTCTAACCTCCCAGGCCCCAGTGTCAGCGGGCCCTCCACCCCCACCCTGCCCTCCATGCACCATCTCACGCCCATCTCGTCCTTTTTGTGCCCGCGCAGAGCCAGCTGGCCGGAGCAGGCCCTGAGGCGCAGTGCCAGGTATGTGGGAGCTGCTCTGGGGTCTGTGGGACTCGCCCAACACCCAGCCCCCAGTGCTCCAAGCTACACTGGGCCCTCCCCCCCACTTTGCCTTTAGTGAAGAACCTTAGAGGTTCTTAAACAACCTTAGAGGTTGTTAAACCTTGGAGGTTTAACAATACAGTTGTGCCCGCTTGTGCTGGCAGGTGGCCAAGCTAGAGTGTAGGATGCCTAGGGAGTTCCTGTCCAGGGCAGCACTACTCAGTCACATCCCTGATGGGGGTGGAGGGGGTCACTGCCTGGCACTGTCCCTGCGCGAGGGCGGGATAGAGGCAACTGTGACAGGAAGTTCTCAGGGCCCAGCCGTTCCCATGGAGACACCCCTCCTCCCCCCCCCTGCTGCCCAGCAACCATACCGGCTACTGCTAATGTCAAGCAGCCAACTGTTCCCATAGGTGTTCTGGGCAGGGAGCTGGAGCAAGGCCAGGGGTGGTGGTGGCTGTAGCGGCCAGAGCAAGGGAGGGACTGCATGAATGTGCTTGTGGGTGAGCCCCCCATGTAGAAGCTTGTGGTGGGCTGTGGTTGGAGGGGAGGTCCCAGGTCTACCATGGGCATGGGAAGTTTGAGGGATTCACAAGGAAGGTCTGTGCCCATCTATGTCTGAGAATTCAGGTGTCCATTTTGGGAGAGTGTTGCGTCCATGTGCATCTGTGTGTGAGAGAGACAGAAAGAGAGAGAAAATATGAATGTGTGTTCAGGTGTGAGGGGTAGAGGGGCATTGGGGAGGCACCAAGAGAAAGAGGGAAAGCTTGTGTCTTTAAATAAGGATGAGATTTCCAGTCACTCCCAGGGTGGGTTTGTAGGTTCAAGCCTGTGGGGAGCTGGATGGTGGAGTGTGAAGATGGAGGTGTGTGTTTGCACACCTGAAGGTGGATTTGCTGGGTATGAGAACAGAGCACTGGAAGGTGGGCGGGGCACAGGGGATGTGCTTGTTTAAGGGCAGGTTGTCTGTGTGTGAGAGTGTTCCCACGGTGGGCCAGCAGGTGGCTGGTGGGGAGGGAGTCTGGTTAAGGGAGTGTTCCTGTAAGCTGAGTAGCAGGAAGGCACTCACCCTGTTCTGAGGCCTGTGGGAGGCTGAGGAGCAGAACCTGCCTGCAAGCCTGACCACGCGCACCCTGCTCCCTCTTGCAGACCTCCGTCCTTTGCCTGACGTCGCCATGACAGGCACATGTACCCGGGAGTGCAGTGAGTTTGGCCACTCTGACACATGCTGGATGCCCGGCCAGTCATCTCCCAGCCGCCGGACCAAGAGCAGCGCCCTCAAACTCTCCACCTTCGTGCCTTACCAGGACCGAGGAGGGCAGGAGCCTGCAGGTGCCGGCAGCCCCAGCCCCCCGGAAGACCGGAACACCAAAACGGCCCCTGTGCGCCTCCTGCCCTCCTACAGTGCCTTCTCCCACAGTAGCCATGACTCCTGCAAGGACTCGGCCACCTTGGAGGAGATCCCCCTGACCCAGACCTCCGACTTCCCACCCACAGCCACACCGGCATCTGCCCAGACGGCCAAGCGTGAGATCTACCTGTGAGCCCCTTTGGCCAGCTGGCCACACCCTCCCCCAGCCGCAGGCCTGTCCCTGCGGGGCAGCCCGGCCTGGCCCAGGGCCCTCCCTCTCGACCCCTTCCAGTGTGGACTCATGGCCAGGGCCCAGATGGAGTGGAGGGGTACTGGCTTCGAGACCATGCTGGCCTTTCCCCCATGCAGGGTCCAGGTCCTCTTCCCCACTTCCACCCTCCTCCAATCCCCAGGAGCCTCTTTTTCCCTTTTGAGGGGCTCCCCCAGCTCATGTCCAGGAGGGCTCCCTCCCCTCCTCTTCCAGGGAGGGCTCCCTCACTTTGGGCAGGTGGTAGAGTCGGGGTGGGTAGCACACTCTTACATCCCGCATGACTGGCCCCCCCGGCCAGGACAGCAGGCCCCTGTGTATTTTTTAGCCCTGAGGCAGGGCTGAATTGGGGAGCCCCTCTCCCTGGGAACACCCAGAGGAGACTGACTGTCAGGGGCTCCCTGAAGGGCTTTAGTTACCAAAGGTGGGCTGGGAACCGGGGAGGGAGTGAGGTACGGGTCTTGGCACCCAGGGCTGTGCCTGGCCTGGCACCCTGGCCTGGTCCTCTGGCTCCCCTTTCCTCTGCTGGTCATGCAGTGTCTGTATATAAGGACCTTGGAATGGTGTCCCCATTTCTGCCTGATTTGCAACTTTTCTCGTTGATGTTGTGTTGTCTTGGGGGACCCCTCGGTGGAGGGGGACCTGCCCTGTGCCCCCTCCCCCCTTTCGCAGTGCCCTCCACCCCAGGCCTCTACTGTTCCATGTTGTAAATACCCCTAGGGCCGTGGTGGGATGGGGGTGCAGGCCAGGGAAACAACGGGTGGGTGGGGTGGGGACGGGGGTAACTTTCGCCTATCAGCAGAGCTGGGCTTTTATTTAATTTTTTTTTTAAGAAAAAATACAAATCTCTATTTTTTTGGAACTGTTGCGCTGTGCCCTGGGGGGTGGGGACCCCCCACTCAGGCTGGCTTCCCACACCCAGATGCGCATCACAGAGGGGTCCTAAGGCTGTGGGGGACAGCTGGACAGGGGTGGGATGACTGTGCCTCTGGCCTGGCTGGGTGAGTTGGGAGCAGGAAGGTTTGTTCAGGGGGTGGCTGACGGCTGCCCCCAACATGGGGACCTGCACCCTCTGCCCTCCCTGTCCCCCAGCCCCCTGCCATGACTGACCCATCAGCCTGTAAAACCACCATTGCCTTGACCTCAGGGGGTGGAAGGGCTGCCTCAGGGCACCCAGGACTCCAGGCCCCCCCTCTTCTTCCGATTGGGCTTCCCTTGCCTGGGTCAGGAGTCCCATGGGGGAGGGGCAGAGAGACTGGGGCGGGGCAGAGAAGCCCAGTCAGCCATGATGAGGTGAGGGGTCTTGCCTTCACCTCAGGGGGGCCAGGGTGTGAGGGGTGTCCTACAGAATGCCCCCCTCAAGCCTCAGCCCCTCTTCCTTCCAGAAACCCCCACTGCCTTGGCCCATACCTCTCCAGTCCCCCAGGGGCCAGGCTGGGAGGCTGGAGACTCAGGGTATGGCCCTTGCTTAGTTATCTAAGCTTGGGAGTTGGGGAGGGGGGTTCCAAGTGTGGGAGGGGTAGGGCACAGGCTGCTGGGTCATCCAGTGCCTTTGGGAGCTGTGCTGCTGGGGGTCTCAACTCCTGTAACCCCAGAGACCCCATCCCCACCCTAGAAAAGCCAGGGGCTGAAGAATAACCCTCTTCTCTGCCCCTCAGTCGGCTTGGGGTAGCAGTGTGGGGAAGAGCTCGTTAGATTAGCAGCTCCAGCCAACTTGGCCCTTCTGTGGGGGGCAGGAGGCAGAGTGGACTGGGGCAGCAGCAGCCAGGTCTTGGCATAGGCCAAAGGCTCCTTTCCCTAGGGGAAGCCCAGGAAATGGGCTTGGGGGTTTGTTTATGAGACATAGCCCCTTTCCCCTGCACAAACGGGGCAGGTGCAATAGCAGTTGAGTTGGGAGCCTGAGGTGCCCAGCAGGAGGGGCAGCACCTGCAGGGCTGCCAGGTCCACTCCCTGCCCCAGTCCTGGAGGTCAGGACTAGGGCAAGAAGATTGTAAGAGGCCCATGTGCTTGGTGGACAGGGTGGTCTAGACAGGAGGCATTCCTGGAGTCTGTGGACTCCTGCCAGAAACCTGTGGTGGCCTGGGTCCCATGTCCCTGGTTTCAGAGACCCCACCCCCACCCCCCAGCACTGAGCATAATACGGGCAGAGGAGCATTTTGCACAATGGAAAAGCCAGAAGGAAGAGTGTGGCCCAGTGGTTGGGAGGGCTCCAACAAGCGCAGCACAGTGCAGTGTGGCATACGCCCTCTCCGCAGGCCAAGGCAATGAGCTGCCCTGGCCCCCTGGTTGGGGTTGGGGCACTCCATCTCTCATCACCTGGGCACTCAAGAGGAGAAACCAAAGGTGGGCCGGGGGTGGGCGGCAGCGCTGGGGACCAGACCTGCTGGTCAGAGGTCAGCGAAGCCCTCCTTGTTGCCTGTGTCGCGTGCAGTTTTATGTACCAATAGGCGACATTCGGCCAGAGGAGACCCCCTCCCCCTCAAGTCCAGCCTGACCCAGTCAGTGTCTTCCTAGAGGGGACCTATGGGTCCCCTGCCTACCCCCCTCACTTCAGGGCCTGTCTCTTGCTAGGAGGAGGACATATGGGGACATTTAACCTCTTGGGTCCCTGAGGCATGTGTATGGGGGAGGTCGGTGGGCAACCTCACTGCTGGCGGGTTCCCAGGGCCCTCACTCTCCCCTTGGTTGTCTCTGGGGCACCACAGGAGTGTCTCCCCTTCCCACCCAGGTTCCCTGGGGAGCCTGTTTCCTTCCAGAGTCCTCGGGAGCACTTAAGGCAAGTTAGGCCCTGCCAGTGGCCAGCACATCCCTTCCCAGGGAAGGGGTCTCTGGCCCTCCCTTGGCCCTCCTATGTAGGTTGCCCCTGCCCCGCAGCACTTGGGGTTGAGGCCAGGCATTTCCGAGTTCTTTTCCTCTTAGGGGTTCTGGGGCATCCCTTCTCTGTCCTGAGGGCCAGGCCTCTGGAGCCATTTCTTCCCTGATGGCCTGGTCTCCAGGAGCTGGGAGGGATGGTCCAAGCCATGAGAAAGTCTCTTAGGGGGCGTCTCCGTGCGGGACTTCTCTGGCACAGGCCGCAGGGACACTGTGTCCCACTAGTGTGGGGCTCTGGGGTGGGTGTGTTTGCCCCTGGGGAGGGGGAAGACTGTGTCTCCTCGGGTTATTGGAGTGGGGAGGGGGGCCGTGTCTCTCTCGTGGGGCTGGGGGGGCCAGGGAGGGGGGTTGGGGCGCGTCGGGTGCCCATCCGGGGTCGTGTTTCTCTTGGTTTGTGCCACTTCCCACCGCCTCGCTCCTCCCGGGAAGGGCCCCTGTCCCACTCCCACTCCGCCCCTCCACCCCCCTCCCCGCGCTGCGAGCACAATCCCGTTGATTTGTAATGATTTCTGTCTTTTTCTGTCTCTTTCTCTGACCGTCCCCCACCCCACCCGCCGCGAGCATGCGCAGGCACCGCCCCTCTTCCCTTCGGTTCGGTTCGTTTCCGGTTTGTTTGCTGAGCTGTCAATGGAAGACCCATGTAATTATCCCCCCCCACACACCCCTGAGCTTTACAATAAAAGTGTGAAAACCGGACCCTACTCCGCTTCTTGCAGGCCCTGGGGTCTGCGTGCTAGGGATAAGGGGAACCGAGTCTGGGCCTAGCACAGGGCCACGGGGCGCCAGAGTCACCCTGGGGGGCGGCCGGCGCACGCGGGGCCGGAGCGCGAGCACGCGGACCGAGGTCAAGACGCTGCTGGGCCCCCTCCCAGCGCAGGTGCAGGCGGGGCAGGGCGAGGCTGGCTGCGTGCTGCCCCCCGCCCGAGGGCGTGCGCTCGGCCTCGCCGCGCTCTCCTGGCGTCCCCAGCCCGCTCCCCGCGCGGTTGGCACCAACTATGAATTGCAGAACTGGATGGGGGAAAGGGGGGCGGGAGGCGTCTGTCGCATTCTCCCACGCCCAGGAACCAGGACAGCAAGTGGATTTAGGGGAAGAGGACCCGCGAAGAGTCAGCCTGAATCTCCGAAGGTGACCCTTGACCCTCCCCCTTCCCGGGCTCCCGCGACCCCGGGCCTCCTCGGTTCGGCTTGCTGAGTAAACACTGGCTCCGTACAGGTAAGAAAACAAGAGACCGGATCAGCCGGTTCCCGGCCCCGCCTCTGGGCCCCTTGCTTCCGCCCGGCCCACCTCCTCCCTGCTGGGTCCGCTTGGCCAGGCGGGGCGACCGGCCGGGCCCCGGGGTCGGCCCAGCTGCTGAGATTAACCGAGCGCAGGAACTAATCCCGGATGAGCCTCCGTGTAAACCCGGATCGACTGCAGGGATGGCGGGGGTCGCTGGCGCCCCTGCGTGCGTTCCCTTCGTGGGGCGTCGCGGGGCCTTGGGTCCCTCGTACTCTTTTTCGGGGGACACGCGGTTGGATTTGCTATGGGACGCCGAACAGGGCAAGGGACGACGAAGAAGGCATCCCAGCGTGGCTGTTGACTGCCGCGAGCCTGGCTGGGATGGCGGGCGAGGGAAGGAGAGAGGAGAGCAAGGGCAAGAACCCCGCCAAGCCGACCCAACCCACCCCAGCTACCACAAACCCTCCTTTCCCTGAGGCCTCGCCTGCTCCACCGAGGAAGTGCTGACTCAGTGGGAAGACCAGTTGCTCCCCAACCCCCACCTGATAAGACAGGTGGAGTTTGAGGAACGTCTCTGGTTCCGCCCTGGAGTAAGGGGACTCCCGGGGAGATGGGAGTGTCGGCCGGGTCGCAGCCGCCTGCCCCAGGTTGATTTACTCATAGCTTAGACATTTCCTGTGTCCCTCCCTTGTGCCAGGCCAGCACGGGGCATTGCCTGGGACGCCCCAAGAATGACACAGTCTCTATGGGAAAGGCAGACAGGTCAACAATGACCACATCTGTGTTGAGCCCTGCTTGTAACAGGAAATTGCTTCCCGAGACCCGAAGCCTTTCTGGAAGGGGCGTTGGGGAGAGCTCCCTGAGCAAGCGGTCCGCAGTGGGAGTGGAGACAGTGGTGTATGTGAGGGTCTGGAGGTTGAGGGGATGGGAGGAGCTGGAGTGCCAGAGTTAGGAAGGAAGGGGCCAGGGCTGAGGCTAAGGACCCAGGAGGACCTTCTGGTCCACCCAAAGCGCTGTGCTGGGAAAGGGGGAGGAGCTAGTGAAGGATGCATTTCTCTCCCTTCCTGATTCTGTCTACCTTCCTCGCCCATGTTTGTGTCTCCTGAGATGACTGCGTGGGGAGTGGAGACACACACAGTCACACAGACAGGAAGAGGATGCAGCTGCAATGTATGTTGGATTAAGTGGTCCCCAGCCACACCAGGGATGAGAGACCTACCTTAGCTCGCTGGCTATGCCACTTCCTTGTGGCCTGGCCCTGGGCAGGTGACTGAGTAGCAATTGTTGTGATTTTTTTTTTTTTAAATCTGGAAAGTGGGGATAATAAGGGTGGCTGTGGCGCTTCCCTGAACTCATTTGTGCATTCTTGTGTTGAACACGTATTTAATGTCTTCCATGCTGCAGGTCCTGTGCCAGGCGCTAGCATTCCAGCGCTGAGTAAGGCATGGTGGCCACTGTTGCCTGGAACTTACATCCCAGTGGAGGGGAAGACAGACAATAAACAAACAAATGAGATAATTGTAGATTGTGTTCAAGTGCGTGAAGGAAATACACAGTGGGACGCCAAAGGAGAATGGCTGGAAGTGGGCAGGGGAAGGGTCTGCCTGGCTAAGCCAAGCTAGGGATACATCCCTGAGGGCTCCAAAAAGACCATCCCAGTGACACCCGCTGCAGCTGTGAAAGCACTGTGAGCACCCTTGGTGCTCCCCAAGGCGAAACTTCCTGAGGGCAGCCTGCCCACCCCACTCCAGTTCCTGCCAACTCCCTTTTCT